AGGTACCGCTATATTGGGGATATACGATATCGTGAACCTATATGGACAATAATCTTCCAGGAGATGAAGTACTCAGGAGGATATCCTTATGTGGATTTTCAGACAATTTTATTGAAAAATTTGGCTACAATCATAAAAATGCCGAATATTGGAGGGTACCGTTGTATGGTGACTGTAGGATATCGTGTACCTATATAAACAATTCTCTTCCAGGGGTAAAGTACTCAAAAAGAACTCCTTGTGTAGAATCTTCCAACTTGACCTGCCTGCAGACAAAAGACTGATCTGTGCAAAATTTTAGCTTCCTATCTTTTTTCGTTTTGACTCTAGTGTGATTACAACAGACGGACGGATAGACAAGGCTAAATCGCCTTAGAATTTTACGCTGATTAAGAATATTAGACCTAAAATTATTATTTCGATGAGTTATAAACGGAATGACGAACTTAATATACCCTCCATACTATGCATGGTGGAGGGTATAAAAATAAGTTATTTTGCCTTGTCTATTTTTTGGGGATAACTTAACGCCTATTGGTAATGCAGGGGTTACTAAACATTATTATCAATGTCATTATTTTTGAGATACTGGTAGAGCAGAGGATATGTGGTATGTTATCACTACTAGTAATACGGAAAGTAGTTCTTACGTCCAACATTTTTTTTGTTGGGTCATAATATGTACACTTCAAAAACGCAATATTCGAGTAAGCGAATGTTGGGCGCCATAGACAGATCTGTCGTAAAATGGACTGATATTTTCTAATTCTCTGCAAAAAACCCAAGCAAAGTACATACCCTACTGTGTCACTTTCCAACACCTATTTTTCGGTGTCCTCAAGTCCTTTTTTCTTTGTTCTGACTAAAATAACCGTTCCTCGTCATACGTCACAATCTGCAAAATATTAAATTGGACATAAAACGAATAACGACACCCCATTAAGTTCTCACACATGATTAATGAGATGCCATAATTTTTTCTTAGGGGAGACAATAACATGATTTCCGATAATAATACTACGTACTGCGCATATAACACCTCTTTTTTACTCACACTTTTAAATTAATTTATATTGTATTAATAATTAATTGATATGTGATACTACGAATGACAACATCAACAATTCGACAGATTTCTTGCAACTAAATATGTTTCTAAATAAAAATTATGATTTCATTAAATATTATATTTCAACTTAATTCCGATACAGACCATGTTGATGTAGATTATCTTAAATCTTAAATGAGATACATTGCTATCTGTGGCATCCTAATTAGGGGCTTTTTCATTCACACGGAAATTCCTTTGAAACAGCAATGTACATTGTTGACCGAACCATATTGTATAAATTGTTTGCTTGTTGTTTTATTTAAACAAATATGGATGTACAAGATTATCTTCAGGTGAACACATGCTTGGAATTTCAGAACAATATTTCTTTTGAAGTGTGTCTTGATAATAAATTACTCTTGGCATTCTTCGGAATACAAAAGTTATGAAATGTATCTACTCTAAATCTTGGCAATTTTACATGAATTTAGAATCGAAGGTGGGAAAGTACAGATGTCTTAAAGTACAAAAAGTTGGGTTTTATACCCTCCACCATACATAGTATAGAGGGTATATTAAGTTCGTCATTCCGTTTGTAACTCATCAAAATAATAATTTTAGACATTACAAAGTATATACAGGGTGAGATGAAAAAACTGCGACCAACATCAGACTGCTGTCATTTCTAAGCCACTCTTCTGACAACTATTACAATTTTTCCAGCGACAACTCATTATATTGATTACAAGCGAACGAAAAGCATTTTGATGAAAAGCGTGATAGTGTGATTTCTTTATATTTGGCTTGAAAACCACAAGTGGCTATCGTTAGAGCACTCCAGCATTTAAATGTGAATAAATCTTTTGTGTCTCGTATTATCGCTCGTTACCGTGATACTTTTATCGTAGCCCGACGTCAAGGAAGTGGACGGAAGAAAACAGCAACATCACCAGAAATGGTTCGAATAGTAAAGGAGTGACTTAATCGAAACCCGCTTCGCATTGGTCGAAAAATGATTCTTGAGCTGAACATATCGTAATATTCCATTCGGCAAATATTGAAAAATGAGCTCGGGGTAAAGGCATTGAAATTTCAAAAATTGCAAGAACTTACACCGCAACAGAAAGAAAATAGATCCAAAAGAGCTAAAGAGTTGCTTCGCTTGACCGAAAGTGGTGAACTGCCGAATTTGGCTTTCTCCGATGAGAAAACATTCGTTGCCCAGCAGTTTGTAAACAAACAAAATTATAGTGTTTACTTGCCAAAGAGGTCAGCTGGAAATGTGCACCTTCGGTTGGCCACCAGAACTCAAGCGCCGGACATGGTGTTGGTGTGGGCAGCCGATGGTCGCTCTCCGTTCGTTTTTATCGACTGTGGCATCAGAATAAATGCCGAATATTATCGCGAAAATATTCTATTTCCGGCATTTTTTTTTTCATTCAATATAAATAAAATATGTAAAAGTTATGGTGTTTGATATTGCTGCAGATTTTTATCTCACCCTTTTTAGGTCCACCTACATCGGTACCCCCGATATTTGATATTTTGACGATTTTAGCGACTTTATTCAGCGAAGTTGTTTCAAATTTCGTATTTAGAGATCGCAATGGAAACTACAGTCTCTGTCAGAAAATTGTATATGCAGGTCCAGGTCTTCGTATGGGCCACATATATCAGTACCCCACTATATTCGGCATTTTGATGATCTTAGCGACATTTTTCACTGAAATTGTTTCAAATTTGGTATTTGATATTCGTAATGGATACTACAGCCTATGACAGAAAATTGTCTGTGCAGGTCCAGGTCTTCGTATAACCCCGGTATAACGGTACCTCCCTATATTCGGTACCTCCTGATATTTGGCATTTTTATGATTTTAGCGGCATTATTCACCGGAATTGCTTCAAATTTGGTATTTGAAATTGGTAATGGATACTACAGCCTGTGACAGAAAATTGTCGATGCAGGTCCAGGTCTTCGTATAACCCCGGTATAACGGTACCTCCCTATATTCGGTATTTTGAAGATTTTAGCTACATGATTCACCGGAGTTGTTTTAAATGTCGTATTTAGAGTTCGTAATGGTAACTACAGTCTATACGGGAAAATTGTCTTTGCAGGTCAAGGTTTCGTATAGGCCACATATATCAGTACATATCTATATTCGGTATTTTGACGATTTTAGGTACAATATTAACCGAAATTATTTGAAATTTTGTATTTGTAGTTCCCAGTAGGTACTACAGCCTGTGACAGAAAATTGACTATGCAGATCTATGTCTTCGTATAACCCCGATATAAAGGTTCCTCCCGATATTCGCTATTTTGATGATTTTAGCGACATTATTCACAGGCTGTTTTTTTTCAAGTTTCGTATTTGAATATTGTAATGGCTAATGACAAAAGTTGCTTATGCAGATCCACGTCTTCGTATAGACCCCAATATAACGGCTATATTTTGTGTTTTTAAGATTTTTACAAAATTTTTAACGGATTTTATTTTTTAAAACTTTCCAAATTAGTTCTAAATGGTGGAGGGTATTCAAAGTTCAGCCCGACCGAACTTACTGCTTTTTTACTTGTTATTATTAATAACACTATTTGCATTTTACTCATTTGGAAAATTAAAAAGCTTATTTCAACCTAAAATTGTAAAAGCCAGCCCTTAGCCATCTACACCCAGAGAAAAAATGACAACATCCGTGTATGAAATGACCACATCCGTGTATGATAGTGTATCAACCACGTTTGGTGTCAAAATGAGCACGCTGTTGTCATTTTGACACCGAGATTTTGGCAACGATTTCAACAACAGATGTGCATGAAATGAGCACATACGTGGTCATTTCGAGCACGCCCCGTTGTCAGATTGTCAACGCTTCGTTGTCAGATCGTCAACGCTTCGTTGTCAGATTGTCAACGCTCCGTTGTCGGATTGTCAACGCCCGTTGTCAGATTGAAATCAATGGTGGTCATTTTTTGATATCCGTTCCTTTTCCATTTTATACCCTTAGTAGAAGAAACGACATTTTTTGAAAAGTATTTTATTGAACGAAACCAATTACATAAATTCAATATAAATACATATTTGATTTAACAAAACAATTCGAATTACATATATTCAATGTATAGAAACAAATTAAATTAACTTAAATCTGAAATAAACTTTTCCATTATTCATAGGATATAAGTGAAATGGGTAAGTAATAAAATCTAAAATTGGTATTAAAAAAATTGTATCCTCATTCAGAGAACCAACTTCATACGATTGTAAATGGTAATCAAAGTTTTTAACTTTTACTTGGTTACATAAAATGTAAACATTTTCATTTTCAATTATTAAATGTTTAATTTTGAAAAGTTCAATTGCGGCATTATTTGTTGCTAAATAATAGTTTTTTTTATACCTAGTTCCCTTAAAAAAAATGTCATCAGACACTTTGCAATTTTGGTAATTTAAAACTGGCTTACTTTTTTTGTAACAATATTCCTCTTTTGCCAAATCTTCGATGGTATGCGTATTAATGATAACATTTGGTTCTAAGTTATCTTCGTGTTTTAATAAAAAATTGGAAAATTTCAATCCAGACTTAATAGATAATGAACGACAGGGATTTACTCTTGATGTAGTATTTCCTAAATAGGCTTTTGCTTCCTTGTGTTTAGCTTCGAATCTCATGCTCCAGAGATATTTAAGGGGACCACATTTTCGGATAGCTGTGGGATAGTGGACAAGAAAGTGGTGTTTCGGTTTTAACGAACCGTATAATGTTATATAAAGTGAATGGTGATCTCTAATTAATTCTTCCAATTTTATTAAATCGTCTTCTATATAACTTGGTCTTAAAAGTAAATCGATTATTTGTAATAATATTATAAAAACGAAACATTAGTATCCATATACAAATAAATAGCTCATGGCTACTTACCAATTCTGAAGCTCTTGCATCGGACAACTTCGTCCATTCAAGGAGAAATGTATGGCTACTTAAATTTTTTATATCTCTTTGCCGTATGTTAAAAGATCTTTTCCATTTTTCGCAGATCGATCCCCAATCATTACATTCTCTTAGTAAGGAAGCTTTCAATGAATTTTCAACTGATTCATCAATTTCGGGAACATCTTTGTTACAAAAATTAGGAGATGTGTGAGTTGCTGCTTTGCTTGTGCTAGGCTCGGAAATCAAAAGCTTTATTCTTTTGGACTTCTTGTTTCTATACTTGGCATAAAGTTTTCCGCTTGCGTTGTTCTTTCCTTTTCTTGAAATGTAATAATAATCCTAAAAATAAAGACATATTATAAGTTAAGAAACTACATAATCAGATACGTTGTTTATATTGTTAATCTTACCCTCATTTCGTTTTCAAGAGGAAAAACGGAACAAATTTCATCCAATATGCGCATATAGTCTTGAGTGTAAAGAGTAACATTGTTGGTTAAAATATCTTCAATAATTATATTAATTATATCATCTCTTTGCTCGTCACTTAATTTCTTATTAACGCTACTACATTCAAGCGCTAGTTTCCCCTTCGAGGTATGTGTTAACAATTCCGTTAGATCCTATATTAAATAAAAAAACTACATTAACTATGCTTACACAAATATTACTCTTACCTTACCTCTGACAAAATTCCTTTGGCTTTTGAGCAGTTCGAACCTGTAGTGTCGGGAGTACCAGGAGTACTTGCAGGTGTCTCGTTGCGTTTCCACCATTCACCTATTTTAGATGGAACTGACATAGTTTCGTCATCAATCCCGAGCTATTGTTATGACAATATTAATACTGAGTTCAACTCTGTAAAACAAATAATACGTACCTTTCGTTTTTTCCAAGCAAAGAGCTTTTCTCTGAATTCAACACGCAGTCCCAATGGTGGCACTGCTTCCTTTAAATCTTCTTTTTTCAAGTACTGCAAGCTGCGAAATGTTACATGTGATGCTAAAAGAACAAAAAGAAAATTCTTTGTTAATTACACTGATTAACTGAAAAATTCATTTTTATTTACTTACCTTTTAATTGTTCAAAAAGCGACTCCATATTTATTCCTTTTAAGAACTCCCTTAACATATAATCGTCCTCATTGTTTTCCGCATCTTGACTGCTGCAATGGTTTGTATCGCGAACCACAACAATATTGCCATCGATTTCTAACAACTCACCAATGATATTTTGAGGATCTTGCGAATTATTATTCATTTTCAATAAATTTTTTGCACAATGCGTCCTTTCTCTTTCAATAACACGGAAAAAATGGTAAATATGCAGCCGATTGCACACGAGTAAAAAAAATGACAACGGTGGTGCATGATTCATACACGGTAGTTGCTAAAATGGCAACGATCGTGTACGATTCATGCACGTCGGTGTACAAAGTAACAACGGTGGTGCATCATTATGCAGGTGGTGGTGCATAATTCATACACGACCGGTGTCATATTGACAACGACCGTGTGTGAATCATGCACCACCGTTGTCATTTTTTACTCGTGTGTAATCGGCTGCAATTACCAATATTACAAATGGACAAATTAAGCACGGCTGTTGTTGGTACCGAAAGTTGACCACGTCTCGGTGTCAATTTGAGCACGTTCGTGCACAATTCACCAACAGCCGTTGTTGAAAAATATAACAACGGGTCGTTGCGAAAATGACAACATACGTGCTTGATTTCGCAACGGGATTTTTCCCTCAGTGTAGCCCCCATATAACGGTACCTCCCAACATTAGGTATTTTGATGACATTAGCTAAATTTTTCAATAAAATTGTCTGAAATTCTACAAGGAGTTCCATGTGAGTACTTTACCTCTTGAAAGAGCATTTTCTATACAGGTTCACGATATCGTATAGCCCCCTTATAACGGTACCTCCCGACATTCGGTATTTTGATGATATTAGATACATTTTTGGTATGATACATGGAGTCGTCTGAAATTCTATACAAGGAGTTCTCAGTGAGTACTTTAACCCCTGGAAAAAATTGTCTATATAGGTCTACGATATGGTATAGCCCCATTACAATGGGTTTTTTAATGATTTTAGCCACATTTTTCAATGGATTCGGCTTAAAAGTTCCTTCTGAGTACTTTACCCCCCATATAACTGTACCTCTCGACATTCGGTATTTTGATGATATAGGTCTACGATATGGTATAGCCCCATTACAATGGTGCCCCCGATATTGGGTTTTTTAATGATTTTAGCCAAATTTTTCAATGGATTCGGCTTAAAAGTTCCTTCTGAGTACTTTACCCCCATATAACTGTACCTCTCGACATTCGGTATTTTGATGATTTTAATCACATTTTTCAATGGCATTGTCTGAAATTCTACACAAGAAGTTCTCTGTGAGTACTTTAACCCCTGAAAAGAATTGTCTATATAGGTCTACGATATGGTACCCCCCGATATTCCATATTTTGATATTTTTAGCCATATTTTTCAATGAAATAGTCTGAAAATACACACAAGGAGTTCTCTTTCAGTACTTTACCCCCTGGAAGATAATAGTCTACATAGGTCTACATTTAAGTGTAGCACCCATATAACGCTACTCCGACTTATTTGGTATTTCCAGGATTTTCGCAACATTATTCAACGGAATTGCGTCAAATTTCGTATTTGAGGTTCGTAATGGGTACTAAAACCTATGACGGAAAATAATCTAGGCAGCTTCACGCCTTAGTATAGCCCCCATACAACGGTACCTCCCTTTATTCGGTATTTTGATTATATTAGATACATTATTCACAGGCATCGTTTCGAATTTCGTATTTGAAGTTCGGAATCGGTACTACAGCCTAATACAGAAAATTATTATCCAGCACCACGTCCTCATATGGTCCTCATATAAAGGTTTTTATTTGAGCGGTATTTTTCGATGGATTTTTTTTTAATTTTTCAAATTCCTTCCGAATGGTGGAAGGTAGAAAAAGTTCGGCCCGGCCGAACTTACTGCTTTTTGTTTACTTGTTAAAATTCATTTTTCACAAGGACATCCTAAAAATTTGAGTTAATTGGTTAAAAACATAAATGGACTCGTGACAAAACATAGTGGATTTTAAACATTTAAGTACCAACCAATTTAAATTTTTATAAGATTTTTCTTCAAAGAAGCAGTACCTGACTAAAACCGTTGATATTTGCAAAATTTTTTTCAAGAACACTCCAAAATATTTTTAAGAATTCATTTTTCATAGGACACCCAGACAAAAATTGTGGATTTTCCGCAAAATGGTTTTAAGATTTTCTGGTCATAAATTGATGTGTGTGCTGCTGAAAAAAACTTGTGATTTAAGAATATTTTTAAAAGAACAATTTGCCAAAAATCATTTTTTTTTTTAATTTTCTCTGCTTTTTCAATATGTAAATAATGCAAACAATATCTTTTGGTCGCAGAATCATAGACTAAGGAGATAAATTTGTCGTCCAAATTATTGTTATTTTCTTAGTTATTTTTCGATCACTTTTGCCAACGAGAATGGTCTCCCATCTCCGAGATATTAATGTTAATTTCCCTAGATACAGTATTTATTGTTAATTTTTCCCGTAATTAATAATATAATAATGATATAATTTTTCTCAATATTAATTTCATTAAACAGATTTTCGCCTTAATCTTTTTTATCAAGCAATCTACATATGTATAGTAATATGAAGACCATCTCATATCCAAAATCTCAATATGCATATAAATGTATGTCTGTCGGTTTGTGTGCATATTTTGTTATCATTCTTTTGTTCACAACAAATAATATTTTGCTTGATAAATAACTTATTGATCTGGTATGAGCTTGATTAATACCAACCGACCAACCAATCAACCATTGTGCCAATTCATAGCCAGCCGTCTGAGAATGCGGAGTGTCAATGTTAAATATTCGTAAAATAATATTTCATTCATTATTTTGTGGTTGCTATAAGGCATTCTCGACAGAAACAATCAATATTTCTGCAAAATTCCAATCATTCAGGGACAGTATTTGATTTTTGGTTTTCGAGTTTTTTTTATTAAAAATGCTTCTTAAGATCAAATTAAGGTGGGTGTGTGGAACTGAAATATGTGTTAGACCACAGCATGAATTCGATTGAAATGATAAAGTGTTTTATAATAAACCTTTACGTTTTATGTGTCAGTGGGTAAACTTAGACAATTTTTTGAGTTACACATTCGCACATATTGATATCAAGTGTGATAGACAAGGGAAGGAGAATTGAGGGTGCAATTTACATATGAAATTAACTATGGAATAAAACCACATAGAGTTCTCAGAAAGAAAATATAATTATATTTTCAAAAATTTTTGAATGGACAAAATGTTTTGAAATTCTAATAAAATAACGCCTAAGACCAAAAGCGGTCTTAAAGGTTTTTATTTCCAAATAAGTTGCAATTTTTGTTGAATGAATAATTTCATGACTCTGTTTTATTGCAAAAAAAAAAAAAAAATTAGCTTAAAGTGTGGTTGGTCGACAATTAGTTTTTTTCTTTTGGTTGAGGTAAACTTAAAATTTATGGAAAAAATTTAAAAGTATTTTAAGGGACTTCCCGGGCTTTAAAGGTGGATGTTTTTCAAAATATTTTTCAAAGACAAAGATTTTTTAGACAAAACCAACTTACAAGTGGAGAAAGATGAAAATGTTTATAAGTGCGGTTGTAAGATTTAGAAGATTTTCCAATTTTAGTTTTATGTAAGTCTTTGGTTCCCCTTCTATTGAAATTACGATCTCGTCACTTGGGTAAAAAAGTTATTTTTAAAATAATTACCGAGGAGAATATCCCAGACAAAAAACAAGGGAACTGATGATGATTGGTGGCTCTTTGCGTAACCTTGTACTTGGTATTCCCTGCCTAATAAACAAACGATGTTTTTTAAAACATCAATAATGGGATTAAGCCTGACCATTTTGCACCAACAAAATGATATGGTATCCCGAACAAACAAGCAAGCACTGTTCTCTTTTTCAAAGATTTCAATGGAATGTGAGAACTACAAACTTGGATTTTTTCAAATAATTAATCACCAATATTTTTAATAACCATTAGTGTTATTAACGTGAATTTATATGAAAAAATTCCAGGAGCATCAGAGGAGGATTTAAAAAATATTTTTATAAACCTGGATTTTTTAAAAATAATTTTCAGGGGCCATAACAACTACAAGTGTGGAATTTTAAAACATTTTTTTAAATAAAATTAGAGCTTTAAAGGAGAATTTTTAAGGTCCCTGAGAGCGATAAACGCGGATTTTTAAAATATTTTTTTAAATAAAATCAGAGCTTTAAACGGGGATTTTTAAAACATTTTTTAAATAAATTCAGAGTTTCAAAAGAGGATTCCTAAAGAATGTTTTTCAAAGGCCCCTGAGAGCAATAAACGTGGATTTTTAAAGAATATTTTTCAAGGCTCCAGATGGCGATAAAGGTGGATTTTTAAAGAATATTTTTCAATACCCTTGGAAGGCCCTTGGAAGCTGTAAACATGGATTTTTAAAGAATTTTTTCAAGATCCGTGAGAGCCATAAAGGTGGATTTTTTAAGAATTTTTTCAAGGTCCCTGAGAGCGATAAACCATGATTTTTAAAGATTTTTTTCAAGATCCGTGAGAGCGATAAAGGTGGATTTTTTAAGAATTTTTTCAAGGTCCCTGAGAGCGATAAACGCGGATTTTTAAAATATTTTTTTAAATAAAATCAGAGCTTTAAACGTGGATTTTTAAAACATTTTTTAAATAAATTCAGAGTTTCAAAAGAGGATTCCTAAAGAATGTTTTTCAAAGGCCCCTGAGAGCAATAAACGTGGATTTTTAAAGAATATTTTTCAATGCTCCAGATGGCGATAAAGGTGGATTTTTAAAGAATATTTTTCAATACCCTTGGAAGGCCCTTGGAAGCTGTAAACATGGATTTTTAAAGAATATTTTTCAAGGCTCCAGATGGCGATAAAGGTGGATTTTTAAAGAATATTTTTCAATACCCTTGGAAGGCCCTTGGAAGCTGTAAACATGGATTTTTAAATAATTTTTTCAAGATCCGTGAGAGCCATAAAGGTGGATTTTTTAAGAATTTTTTCAAGGTCTCTGAGAGCGATAAACCATGATTTTTAAAGAATTTTATCAAGGTCCGTGAGAGCGATAAAGGTGGATTTTTTAAGAATTTTTTTAAGGTCCCTGAAAGCGATAAACCATGATTTTTAAAGATTTTTGTTTAAGGACCATGAGAGCGATATACGAGAATTTTTAAAGAGTTTTTTCAAGGCCCTTGAGAGCGATAAACGATAATTTTTAAAGAATATTGATATTTATTAAAATATTCCTGAGAGCGATAAAGGGTCTTCAAGGCTCTTGGCTGCTGTAAACGTGGATTTTTAAGAATAATTTTGGAGGCCTTTGGAAGCTTTAAACGTGGATCTTTTAAGAATA